ACACGTCCTCCCAACGGGCATAAGTATAGGGATGCCGGGGAATCCCAGCATCCCAGCATCTTTTCAAAATATCAGCACAAACCCCCTTATCAAGGAAAATTGGGGACGTAGCTTGTATCAAATATATATATCATCCCACTCGATTGATTTGGCGCTCCTGGTTGATCCCAAGTGTGAGCTATCCAATTCAAATCTGCGCTCTTCTAATTTATTAACACATCTCCTTTTTATGCAGGGGGGATAACCAGGGTACCTTTTGTACTTCTGCCGAGTGGCCATGAATGCGTTCTATCATTAAGGAACGGCACAGATCCCAGGGACCATGCAGCTGCTAGCCAGCGCAGGGCTGATTTTGATGAAACTTCACCATGGTTGGACCCGAGGAGAGAGTCCATGGTGGTAATAGCAATAAGATACTGGGTTATCTATAACACATATCTTCAGGCTGATCGAAGTAGCATCTGGTAGATCTCTGACCATATTCATTCGTATTCCTTGAAAGAGTCAGACAGTCAATTGTCAAAACTGTGCTATTGGCTTTGGGCGAGTGATATTTTGAGATGGAAATGGATTGTCGTTGAAATCCATACCACGCTCTGGTTGTTAGGATGTCTAACTCAGCGCCAGCGAGGCTAAATCTCGAGTTGGGGAAGATTTCTCCACGCCATGAACTTGGGTCGCGGTTGTTTCTCCTTTCCCTCTCTTCCCCGTGTCGTTGTTTTCTATTTGTGCTGCCTCCGAAAGCTGGAGACAACAGTAATAGGATATATGTTTTGAGAATATGGATGACCTCAGTCGAGTTTAGAAATACGAATGTGTTTGACAACATCCAGAGACGAACATATGTCCTCGCAGCAAGCTGGGGAAGGAGATGTTGCCACAGCTCCATTTTGAGGAGCCCATTTTCCAAAAGAAGCCCTGTTTGGTTTCAAAAAGTACGTGCAAGCCCAATATTGTGGCGGACGTAAAGCTTGCGAAAACAGAATTTTCTGCCACCCCCTGAAAAGTAGTAGCAAAACACCACAAAAATAATCAAAATATCCACATATCTCTAGAATCATTCAAATATCATCCAATTCATTCAAATACACATCTTTATCATCAAATACACATCTTTATTATCAAATCTGTCAATATGTCTCACAACACTCACTGTTCTACTGTCTTATAAGCTTATAAAAGAACTTCAACTACTCTGTATCTTCATCTGCTCAAATCATCTATTTCAGATATTTCAGATAATAACAAGAATTCAACTGATGATGAGAAGAAGAAGAAGAAGAAGAAGAAGAAGAAGAAGATACAGTCAGAAGATTCTCAATTTCTGCAAATATCTATCTCTGAGTCTGAAATTTCATTCAGACTGTATGAATAAGTGATTATTAATAAAATAAAGAAGTCTATAAAGATCAAGTTATAAAATATCACAATAAATAATATAACTGTCAGTTTCTATTGTATTTAATATACTGTAAAAAGAATAGCTGAAGAGTATGTTATAAAACAGAACTGTAAGAAGATAGAAGTTGTAAATTGTATAGCAGTCATCTTATCAAATAAATATAAATCTTTAATCAAAATCATCCTTAAGAAGAAGACAGATTGAAGAGAGATTATTACTCTTTTGAAGAAGTTATATAAAAAGAAGATGAGTGAATTTAGTATTGAGATTATCATCTCTTTTAATTTTCTTGATATTTCAACTCTATTCTCAAACATCTCTATAATATATAATTCTGCAGCTTTCATTGAAGTGTTGAATTCACAATTAACAATTCAGACATTGATATTAAAAAGAGTATTAGATGTCAAAGAAGAAGTAATCTCATCATCTATTAAATTCTCTCTCTATTATTCTGTCAAATTTCTTTGAATTTATAAAATATCTGATGATGAAAAGCTGTTATCTATATATACAAGATTCACAGTCACTAGTCAGCAGCTGAAGAAGGCTTGAAATTGATAATCAAATAAATATAATTTTTTACAGATTGAATGTGAGATAACTGCTCACTGATATTATCAAAAGATAAATTGTTATAACTTTGAGCAGAGTATTTGTTGAATGATTTTTGATAATACTTATATTCAACTTCTGAGTAGTGAGATTATCAGTTGAATAGATGATATTGAATATAAATATACAACAGTTAAAAATCTGTCAAGAAAGATGATAAAAAGATTAATAAATAGAAAAAAGAAGAAGAAATGAAAAAATAAATCTATCTCTGCTTCTAATTCTTCTATATAGATATTTCAGATATCAGTAGTTATTTTCTCTCTCTCAACTTCTTCTTCATCTAATATTGTATCTTTAAATAAGATAATCAATGTAATAATGATGAAATATATAATGAAAGAAATGAAAGATATAGAAGAATTGAATTCAAATTTATCATTGAATTCAAATCTGCTGTTGAATTTAAATCTACTATTGAATTCAAATTTACTGTTGAATTCAAATCTATCATTAAATTCAAATCTATTGTTGAATTCAAATCTGTCTTCTATTTGAAATAGTTCAATTTCTCAGTTTGATAAATATGTAAATCTATTTATTGATGAGTTCTTCAATTAATTGATGATAGAGAGATCTCAAAGAGTAGAAGCTCTTTTAACTGCAAAGAGTATTATTTAGAATGAAGAATTTGAACTGAATTATATATAGATAATAATAAATGAGCAGATGATTCAGTTGAATATTGAAATGAATATATTCTTGATAATAAGAAATAAATTAAAGAGTTCTATCTGACAGTTATAATTGAAGAAGATTAAATTGTCTTTATTTATTATTTATAGTGATAACAGCAGACTTCATACTGCTTCTACTTCTGAATTTGAAACTTAGATATTATATATTATTATAATTGAATTGCAATCTGAATCTTTCTAGATTTTACAATACTATTCTATATAAACAGATCTGAAATATTCTTTTATATCTTTTTCTCTTATAAAGTTCTCAACTGTATGATGTAAGAAGACTTTAAAATCTTTATTAAACTGATTCTCTAACTAATATCTGTATCTTCTAATTCATTCTTTCAATGTATGAAATGATTTCTCTATAGAATTATAATCAGAAGAATATGAAGATAAGAATAAAAATTCAATATCAGCTTCTCTGCAGAGATCTCACAGTGCTTATAAATAATAAAAAAAGTAATTATTTATCACTAAATAGTGATAATCTTGTTGACATTTGAACAGTATCTGAATATATACAAATTTATTGAATCTCTCTGTATTATAGAATCTCTGATATATATCATAATCAAGATTAGACTGGCCGTGTGACCATGCATGGGACTGGGACCAAATTTTTCCTCAGTCCCATTATTAGATATCTTAGTCCTGGTCCCATATAGTGTTTAGCAAATTAGTCACTTTACACTGTTTATATTATAAATCTAGTCCCAGATCATGTTTTACTAATAAATTAGTGATTCTGGTCCCATTTGGTCCCATTTTACAAAATGGGACCAAATGGGACCATGATTTACCCTATATAGGTTGGCAGCGATAGATAGGTTGGCAGTGGTAGGTAGGTTGGCAGTGGTAGGTAGGTTGGCAGCGATAGATTAGCAGTGATAGATTAGCAGTGATAGATTAGCAGTGATAGATAGGTTGGCAGCAGTAGGTAGATTGGCAGCGGTAGGTAGGTTGGCGGCGGTGGGTAGATTGGCAGCGGTGGGTAGGTTGGCAGCAGCACTAAGCAAGATAGAGGTAATATCTCCACCAATCATATCATCAGATTGATGTATTATATAATCATCAGAATGGGACCAAACTTGAGTCAAAATCATGATCAGTCCCAGATCATGTTCTGATTTTGATAGTCAGTCACTTTACATGGAATATCAAGATTTTTTAGTCCCATTTCACTCATGTTTTGATAATTCTAGTCACTTTACACTCCCATTCTGGTCCTGGTCTCACTAAAATCATGCCAAGAAATGGACTGGGACCAAACCAAACCAAACCAAATGTGTAATTCATGGTCCCGGCGGCCAGTCTAATCAAGATATTCATTGATATTTATTGCAGATAAAATTGATCATCTGTGAGATTATTTATAGAGTCTTCTAATATAATAAAAGAATTCTCTGTTTGATTATTTATATTATTAATCTGCAGTATATTCATTTACAGCACTCTCATCTAAAAATATAAATTGATCAGATTGATACTGAGTAACTTGAATATATTATTCAGCTTGAAGTTCTTTATTATATTAAGTGATTATAAATTCAATCTATATCAAATAGAACTGATAAATTAGCAGATTTTATAAATGATAATTGTAATAATTAATCATCTTTTTCTGTATCAAATTCAGTTTCTTCAACAATTTAGATATTAATTGAGAATGAATATCAACATCAAATTCATTTTTCATAAAGCAGATAGTCTTATTGTGATATACAGTTGAATATATCTCAAAAAAATTCTTTAAATCTGATAAGATATCTGATGTGATTTTTGACTTTATATTCTATGTTGAATGAGGACTTCTAGCAGTTTCAAAGCAGTGAATATTTTGTTGAATTTGATATACAGTGATCAGATGACACTCAATGATCCACACAATCTGAGCAGATATATAATCATTATTTAGAAGACATACAATCTCATTGATGATAAATTTGCTGAGCTGGGGGGGTATATTGACAGATTTGATGATAAAGGTGCATATTTGATGATAAAGGTGTGTATTTGAATGAATTGGATGATATTTGAATGATTCTAGAGATATGTGGATATTTTGGTTATTTTTGCAGTGTTTTGCTACTACTTTTCAGGGGGTGGCAGAAAATTCTGTTTTCGCAAGCTTTACGTCCGCCACAATACTCGTCCTCAGGCACCAACTCCGATCAGCAACGCATATCGCTTGAATGAGCGTACGCGAGTAAGGAAACATCGGGAAGAGAAATCAATCCTCAATGTTGACAGGAAGCAAGGGGCATAATGCTTTCACGATGAAGACCTTCGTTCCAATGTTCGTTGAGGAACACCAGCAGGTTGCAATATCCTCTGGAGTCGGAATGATGATAGGACTGAACCCAATATTCTTCAGTTATCCCGTCAAATAGCAGCATTACAGTTGCCATATCTAGCTGCCAGCTAGAGCGTTGAAAGGCTGCCTAGTGATGCCTGTACAGCAGCTGATACGGCATTGGGGTCCATAAACATACAAGGCCTCAAAGCGAATAGTCCCCGATAGGTATCCTCAATTCCCCACTGTTTCTGAGAACCCCTTTTGAGGAGCCTCGTGGCATGGATTGTACCCTGCTAACTGACATATTGTTTTGTAGACTTTATGGAATGGATTGAAATTCAGAGTATATCCTCCATATTGAAATATATATGGCTCTGCTTTCTGATTGCCGCACGTCTCCATCCCACCCTGCTGCTCGATTTGGGAGAAACCTGCTTTTATTTTACCCTCGGATGCTAACCAAACGCTTTTCAGAACCTGTTAGGAGTGGACTCGGGGAAGGCATCATCCACGTTGATATGAGGAGCAGCTACTCCATATATCGGCATAAATGCGTGTTTAAATTTAGGTTCAAGCAACCAGGAAAGCCCCCAAGAAGGTAAAATCAAAGACGGATTTGTCGCGGAAACTCTCAGGCTATATGCTCCCATTCTCTTGGAAACCAGAATTGAATTCAACCGTTGGACTAACGCAGTCTGACCTTTCTTTGCGATCCGGAAAAGGAGTCGGCTCGTAGGGCATTAATGTGGAAACGGTTGCCCTTTTCATATTGATCAATATCAAAGATTCCCAGGCATCAGTTTCCTCGTTCAAAATCACAGTCTGACTCCCCGTGCTTGCCAATCAAACCGGTTGGTTTCATTCATATTTATATTCCAAACCTCATTGCCACAATGGGGTTCGACAACTGGATTAACATGCATTTAACAAACGATCTTGAAGGGCCCCTCGCAACTCAAAATTCTCAGCTGTGACAGTATGCAATTAATGTCCTACTACCATATAGCCCCCGGGCAATGCTTTTCATAAAGATGGAAAGATAGTGAGTGCGTGAGAAGATGAGCCGACCCCGCTAATTTGATGCGCTATTTGCCTCTCCCTCAGCCCTCGCACGGTGGGAAATTCTATCTATGCCAACGACCACGAGGACGATGAAATCTCTACCAAGCAAGTCGATGGGATCGTGGTACCAGAGTCCGGCTCGGGCGATGTGTACAGCTGTGGCAGGCAAGGTGCACCAATTGGCACCCAAGGCTCGTTCGACCCGGTCGATCAAGACACCCTCCAGGAAGTCTGCACCACCAGCTGCGCAAGCCCGTATAGCAGGTGTGGTCATCTGAGCGCTTCAGGTGTCAATAGAAATTATAGCTGCGGCATCGCCGCAGTCAGCTCGAATGGTCCCGCCAATTTCGTTGATATAAACGTTGTAGAGCTGTGATAACTATGAGGTGGGTTTAATAAGGTAACCATCCCCTAAGGGAGAAAATATTTGGTCCCGGGCGTTTGAAGAGAAAAGAAATCTGGTTAAAATGTTAATATTGAGGAAATATGTGGTTTGAGGATGAATACATATCAAGGCATTAGAGTTTTGAGTTGGTCTGTATATATATATATGTGATTATCTTCTATAGTATGTGTATGGACCACATACCATTCAATTAGAAAAGTAATGACTTGTTTTATTTCCACAATTGAGGTGTGAACGCATTTATCATCTGAGAAGTGAAAAGGTATATTAAGATAATAGATATGATATCTTGCAAGTTGTCCTCTGTCTGCCACATTTCATCTCTCTCCAATATTCAACTTTCGCTTTCAGACACAAATCATCAATCAGCTGAAGGATCTCCCTCAAATCCTCATTTCCATTCATTCAGGCACCTATTATTGCAATAGATGAGATCAGATGAACCAGAAATATCCGCTACACGGTCCGTCAATATTTCTGCTCAGCATATGCAACACCAAGCGTCGGCAACCCACTGCTCAAATACAGTCAAATTGCAATGAGGATAAGAGGAGGATCAAATTCAGATCAATGATCTTGTTTAGCTTCGAAGTCGTTAGGGTTTCATACCCGTTTGTCGGCTGAAAAGTCGGCAGCCAGCAGCAAGGCTTCATTGCTAAACACCCAATTAACGGCCTTTAGTATTAGACGGGTTTGGTAGAAGTAGGTAAAACGAGAGTCGTTGGAATTTGCTTCTGGTGGCGGTGAATTTGTGATTTGGATAACTGCTTGTGTATCTCTCTGGTGAAGGGAACCAGCAGGGGTGGTCACTTCGCTGCCAAACTTCTATTCGGGTTATCGAACTGCCTAGTCTCATGACAAAAACGGTATTATTAACCCGATAAAGTCCCCTATCAATTTTAATCAGCAAGTCTCCCAATCCGGAAATGGGTGAAGTGGCCGTATCATCGGGGATAACCAGAGATTCCCCCAAATCAGACCAAAAAGCCAGCTATTCATGGGCATGTTGACTCTCCCGAGTCTACTAGAGAATGAAAGAGGAATCCAATCCTCTCCGATTCCGACTCGCATTAGAAACAAGGTGGTGGCCATCCCGCATATTTGGCGGAATTGATTGCAACCTTTTCTCGAGTTCCCAATTGGTAAGGAGATATCGAAATTGCGAGACGAAACATTAAACTGGTGACCTGGTTAGCTTTTGATAAAATTACAGTTTAGTGGTAGAATTGGGACTAGGTAAACAAAAAAGAAAAGAAAAAGAAAAAAATTAGGGCATTTCAACACCCGTCAGTTGATCCCACATGGTAAGGTCTCCTGGGAAGTTATCAATCTCCTCATTTCTTCCGTTCACCATCGGAGCAAGAGTGATATTTTCTCGCCTACGCACGGACTTGAGGTTTGTTTCATGCAATTAGAGACGCGATTGCTGGAGTCATATTAGCCATCCAAGTAAAAGCATCTGAAGCGAAGACAGAAAAGCTTGCTTTGCCCAGGTAATAGATAGATAACCATTTTCTAAAAAGGGACACGAAGAAACAACCTTGGAAAGCATTGAACACAGCAATGCAGAGTGGCATCAATTGGGTAAACCTCCCTGCCGCCGATGAAATATGGAGATATAATAAATTAAATAAACTGAAAAGCTCTTTATCCTATTGCATCTTGTTCATCCTGTTTGGCTGCGCAGCACTTTTCTGTCTTTCTTTTCTCTTTCCTTTCTGTGATGTATGTTTGTAGCGCTCTCTCCGTCTTTTTCTCTCATTTTACCAAAACAAAAAACGAAGCTCAAACTGGTCAAGTACTAGTTATTCTCAGGACAACGCGGTGAAGAAAAAAGCAGGAGCAAGGAACAGGGAAAATAATATAATATAATAACGGAAAAGAAGTAAAATCGAAAACGAGGAACGCTAACTAAGGGCACCGTGCAAAGGCGCGGGTGTCAGAAATCGGATACAAGACAGCACAGCGAGAAATGCAGGAGAAATGATGGGAGACAGATAAGAAATATATAAAAGATAGATAGAGAAATGAGCTAGGAAAATGGACGAAAATAGACGATGGAACCACAAAGGGAAAGCAAGAAATAAAACAACTTCCACGGAGTAAACGAAAAATAAAAGATACAAACAAGGCTCCCCATACACGGCTGCTGTGAAACGGCAGCTGTCATATATAATGTATTAAGGACGCCCATGACGATGACAACAATGCTGACAATGATCTTATCAATCCATCAGGTTATAATCCAACAAAGAAGCCTTCCTATTCAGGCTATATACAAGAAGCCATTTCTCATGTTTCAAAATCAATCGACGCATTGCAAGTGGGTTTGTGACAAGAATAGTTAGCTAGCTTTCCAACTAACAACTATTTCGTTCAAACGTAGGAGTTAAAGAACGCTTGATTCAGTTTTGCTTCGATTAGTTAGCCATGGCCCCGGAATCGACAAGTGGACACAGCAGCACGGCAAAAACTGTTGGGTGCTGATGCGAGTAGAATGTGAATCATAAAGCCCTTTGATAAAGAAGGGTTGTTGTGTGAATTGTAGCGGCCGCTGATAGTGGAAACAAAAGTGCGATGAGGAGCAAATAAAAAAACACAAATCTATTATTAAACAAGGAAAAGTAAAAATATGGTCGCAAATAAGTGGATGTTCGGTTTTCAAGAAAGAAAAGAAAAATGAGAGGAAAAAGGAAAGGAAAAGGAGACATTTCGCGTTCGCTTAGTGAAAACAGAACGTGCGGTTAGGACAAGGGGATCCGTTAACACACAGAACATGGGAGGGTTGGACATATTGAATTTCGGGAGAAGCGAAGGAGAGCTGGATAGCTGTGAGAGCAAGAGGCCAAGGGGAGCCAAAAAGTATGCTAGGAAAATGAAAAAAAAACGATATTTGTTCGGCACGAAACTCCGGAAATCGATCGAAGAGTTTTGAGGTGGGAAATATAGAGTGATTTTTAGCAGAATTTTAAAGAAGGAAAAATAAAGACTGGGAAATTAGTACAAACGAAATATAAACTCCATCGTGGCCCATTGTCGTAAGTGGGGCGTAGCTATGCAATTAGTCCAGCAGGAGCCGAGAAAAGCTGTAAATACAGACAGGTAAAATACCGATGGCATTTAAAATAGCTCCATCGGCTGGAGATGGTAGGGTGGGGTTAATTTAAATGAGAGCGCGTGCAAGGTTGGGGTAGAACGCCGAAGCGCAATGAATCCATGTATATAGTAAGTGAATTTCAACCTACGGACGAAGTTAAAAAAAGAAAATATGGGATTTTTACACAGAACACAGTGGGGGAGATGGTGTATACATACCACAGCATAAAGCCTTCATGAGTTTCTGTATAAACGTTGGTTCCGGGTCTTGTGCTGGCCGCATTTGTTGTGCCGGCATGGTATTCATGCCATGAGTGCCCGGAGTAGATATGCGGCCTGGAAGATGAGCATTGGAGTTTTGAAATTGAGCCTGAGTGGATGCAGCTGGTGTTGTCTCAAGACCCCCCGCCACTCCGTTCTGTCGTTTGACTTGCGGCCCGCCGGAGGCGTTTTGCCGCTCGCGCGCTTTCCCCACTCCCTGTTTCGCGGGAGATGGGGGCGGGGGTTGCGCGGCGTTTAAACGGTCAGCTGTTACACCTGGCCTATGCGGGCCCCTAGGTGCTGGTACTCCATGAATATCACGAGCTGATGTGTTCTGAGCGTTGGACGCATGGAGATGATGTTGAGGAGGATATTGTTTGGTAGCTTCCCAACCTCTTCCGCCATTTAACTTCATCCAGTCATACTCGCCGTCTTCTACCTCTCCAGTATTTTTCAATGCCTGGGTGAAGAGGTCGCGCAAGTAATCATAATCAGGGGTATCCTCGAATCCCAGATTACGGACACAAGTCAAGTATTTATTGAATTCCTCTTGAAACAGTTTGTCAGTATAGCTCGATTGACAAAAAAAAACTGGGATAATACGGCGTAATAGTCTTGCATACCAGGATATCCATCACACAGATCTTTCACCGCAGTCGTCTGCTTCTTCTCACCAATCTTTTCGTATTTTTGTTTGTTAGTGGCAGCTTTCAGACCCTGCCATGGCAAACCGCCCCTTAGAAAGTACATGAAAACATGGCCCAGGGCTTCAAGATCATCTCGTCGTGACTGCTCTCTCCCGAGATGGGTGTTAATACTCATGTATCTTGCAGTGCCCGAGAGGGACTTGCGTTCCCGGTAAGGAATATGTTGTTTAGTCTTGGGATCTCTATACTGTTTCGCCATTCCAAAATCAACAACGTGGATGACGTTGGCCGCTTTGGAATTTGGTCTACCAATGAGGAAGTTGTCGGGTTTTATATCTCTATAGATCAGGTTCTTTTCGTGTATCGTCTGCACTCTTGAAAGCTAAATGAGGCAAGGACAGTTAGCGGGATTCCTCAATTAATTGACGTTATGGGATTTGATGCGTACCATTTGTTTGGCCACCATGACTACCGTCTTTATCGAAAACCTTCGATTGCAGTGATCGAAGAGATCCTCTAGGCTTGGTCCTAAGAGGTCGATGACAAGGATGTTGTGAAGACCCTCCTGGCCAAAGTAGTAGACATTGGGTATGCCAGCTATCGCGAGACAGTATCAGTAACCGAGTCTTCTGAAGCTGCGTTTCCAATTCGTTTTACTTACGACACCCAACGAGGACTTTGTACGTTCTATACTCATCTCGAAGTTGTGGAGCATCGCTTTTCCGAGGTTCCTGGAAGCCAAGATTCATTAGCCCCGTGTTTATATTTATATTTTGCAGTACACAAAATAGTAGAACGAGTATTGATGACTAGCATGATAATGACCGTAAAATCACGTACGAATTTGATAGCAACCTGCTGGCTGTTCAATAGGTTGGTGCCTTCAAATATCACACCAAATGAGCCCTCGCCGATTTTTTTGCCCACGCGGTAGTGAACACCGACGACATTTGACGAAGAGGTCAT